AATCAAGGAGAGAAGCAACTTAGAACTAAGAAGAAATTTCCTGACAATTAGAACAATTAATCAGTGGAACAATTTGCCTCCAGAAGTTGTGAATGCTCCAACACTGGAACTTTTAAAGAAGATGTTGGATAACCATTTGTCTGAAGTGGTGTAGGGTTTCCTGCCTGAGCAGGGGGTTGGACTAGAAGACCTCCAATGTCCCTTCCAACTCTGTTATTCTATTCTATTCTATTCTATTCTACTCTACTCTACTCTACTCTACTCTATTCTGCCCTATTCTTCTCTACTCCACTCTATTCTAAAACCCAAAGCATTATCAGACGTGTTTCCTGTTCCCCCCTCCCTCCCAGGCAAACTGGAAAGCAGCCGAGAGCTTCATGTTTCTCTCTTCTTTATTTTTGCACACATCTTTCTTTCTCTCCCACCCCCCAATGTCCTTTCTCGCAGGGTTTCTAGGACATTTCAAAGATGGCCTTGAAGGTCGCCCCCCGGGGAGACAAATAGCAGAAGTCAGGTGGAGAAGAATCTGGGGAGAGGAAGTTGCTGAGAAACTATTTTGTGAGACTCCTGCTAGAGGAAACAGCCGAGAGCAGGGAATGGCTATTGAATTAGGGGAGGGGAGGGGAGGGGGGGAAGAAGAAGAAGAGAAGAACAGGAAATAAATCTGCAGTCTCTCGTGGGATAAAGTTTTCCAGGCAAACTCTCAATGCACCTGAGCAGTGTGATTCCGATTAAGGTCATTTTGACTTTCCTTCTGGGTGCTGAGGAAGCTCAAGATGATGGATTGCTTGTGACAGTTGACTAGAACAGAGAAGAAGTCAGACGAAGGGAGGTATTTCGACGTATGAAATGTGATAGGCAACCAAGTGACCTCTGGATAATTTGGATTGTGACTCTCCTACGTCTTGGCAACAAGGCCAACCAGCTGGGGGTCCAGGTGCACATGGAGGCCATCATGCGTGTTCTACCCACAAGGCCGAGAGGTTACTATTTTTGTAATGGGGAAAAAAGAAAACAAATTTTACTTGGAGTGTCCAGTGGTTGAAAGAATGGCCTCTCTGCTGTAGGGAAGAGATGGATTATGTTGCACAGCTTCCTAAGCAGATACAAAGCCAGGAAAAACAGCTGAGAGAGCAGTTGGTGGGCCACAGGTAGTCGATTCTGCTTGATGCATCCTGGACTATATAATTACAAAATGGTATTAAATGTTAAGCGGAAGATGAAAGTGCTGGGGAAAATATCTCCTCCTCCTTATTTATCTCCTCCTCCTCCTCCTCCTCCTCCATCTCTTCATCTTTCCTCTTCATCATCTGTCTCTTCCTCCTTCTCTCCCTCGTCCTTGTGTAACATCCTCCTTTTTGTCTATCCCCTCTGCCCCCTGCTTGTCTTTCTCCTCCTCCTTCTCTTTATAATCTTTATCTATCTCTTCCTCCTCCTCCTCTTTTTTCTCTCTCTTCCTCCTCTTCCTGCTTCTCATCTTCCTCCTCTTTCTCTTCCTTGTTTATATCCTCTTTTTCCTCCTCCTTCTCTTTATAATCTTTGTCTATCTCTTCCTCCTTCTTTTCCTCCTTCTCTTTCTCCTCTTTGTCTATCTCTTCTTCCTCCTCCTCCTCTTTTTACTCTATCTCTTCCTCCTCTTCCTGCTTCTCATCTTCCTCCTCTTTCTGTTCCTTGTTTATATCCTCTTTCTCATCCTGCTGCTCCTGCTCCCCCTCTTGCTCCTCCTCCACTTTGTCTATCTCCACCTCCTTCTCTTTCTCCTCCTCCTCCTCTATCTCTTCATCTTTCCTCTTCATCATCATCTGTCTCTTCCTCCTTTTCTCCCTCCTCCTTGTGTAACTCATCCTCCTTTTTGTCTATCCCCTTCGCCTCCTGCTTGTCTTTCTCCTCCTCCTTCTCTTTATAATCTTTGTCTATCTCTTCCTCCTTCTTTTCCTCCTTCTCTTTGTCCTTTGTCTATCTCTTCCTCTTCCTCCTCTTTTTTCTCTATCTCTTCCTCCTCTTCCTGCTCCTCCTCTTTCTCCTCCTCTTTCTCTTCCTTGTTTATATCCTCTTTCTCCTCCTCCTCCTCCTCCTCCTCCTCCTCCTCCTCC